TAGCCCTACATGTATATGACCTTTATCTAAGCATTTAAAACATCTGCCAAACTTACGTGCTAAAGTCTTACGTGTTTTTTGATCCCTTACTCCTGGACTGTCTTTGTGGGCATGTTGTTTCAAACAGAAAGCACCATTTTTTCGTTTCTCATTCGCCAAGAGTGCAGCAGCAGTATAAGGGTTCTTTCGCTGACGCTGCATGTTGATCTCGTTCCATATTTACCATTGCAGTCGTTCCCACGGCATTATGTGCTTCTCTCAGTTCCGATTCTTTTACAAACGCATGCAACATTTCTTCCATCGACCATTGTAAAAAGTCTGTCCCTCTTGTAATCGTCAAACGAAATGACTCCGGTAATTTCTCGACGATGACTGGAACAACTATACTGGAGTAAGATTCCTCGCTCACCCCCAGTGCTTTCAAGGCGCGGTTATGTGCTTCACAGCTATCGTACAAATTTCGAAGTCCTCGCGTGTCTCTTTCCTTGAATACCGGCGACAATTGAATCAGTTCGTTCACGCACGGTTCACGTGTGCTCGCTGGACTGCGCTCTTTTTATCAAACCGTTTCTTTAAGAGTTCTACTGCTGACTTATAATTTGCTTCTGTCAGAGAAAACCCAGCGATTGTTGACTTTGCTGGCTCTTCCAATAGACCGCGTAGATACGCAAATTTATCGACATCAGACAATTGCTCATTGTTATCAATCGAACTTGAAAAGCCGTCCCAAAACTCCTGCCATTCGCAAATCTTCCCGTTAAACTTTCTGAGTTCAAGTTTCGGGAGCTTAGCTCAAACGATTTTACCGACTGACATATCGCTGGAGGTTGACAAATGACTTTGATTAAGGCTTGCATCCGCGGCGTTCTGCGTTGTCGACATTGACAATGGCGTGCTTTGTCTCAATTTACATAATTCATCATCGAGCTCGAGTAATACTCTTTCCAGTTCCGCTATCGCGTTGTCTGATTCTTCAATTTCTTGCGTTACAAGTTCATCGACGTTTTCCTCTTTCGATGCGCTGATTATGTCGATTATTTGTTCGTCGAATTGTCTTATCGTCTTGATTTTTTCTTTCAAGTTCGTTTGGCTCTGTCGCAACCATAGTATGTCTTTGTCTGGGCTCTCACTTTGAAGCTTTTCAACTATCTTCGCCACAAGCTTTTTAGCTGACGATCTGTGGCCTCCTCTCACTCGTTTCTTCTTGACTAGATCTTCCATCTGACGATTCAAGTCTCGAAACCTCACGCAACTCTATTCTCGACCGCGACGCAAATGTTGACTATTTGCGCGTCCTTTCTTCACAATATTAACAATCCGGCTCGATCGGACCACTGTGTTGCGGAACTTGTGATTCCACCGTCTGGTTCATTCAGTAAACGCTCAAGGGACTGTATTTTATAATTGTATTGATTGTAATATGTGAAAGTATACTATTTACAACGTGAGTTTTAGACTGTTAAACATTCCGATTGTCTCGCTACGATCTGACGGCAACAATGACATTCAATCACTACCTAGCTATTTGATTACCCTACCAAATTACAATGTGTCACTGTGACGTATCAATTTACACATACAAAGACTTATTTACGATTTAACATGAATTACGTCAATCACAATACTGTATATTACATGAAGTATATTTAAAGTTGAATGAATTGGCGGCGCTGCGCTGGGAACCTACGACAATTACCACCTAGTTGATGCATTTCCAACTCTTTGTAAAGTTTACGCGATCGCAGTTGCAATTCCAATCAAACCCGCACACGTTCGTCTTTGTCTCAAGAAAAACTTGAAGCATTGCTACTTATGACCGGCACTGAACGGAAGATTTTAATGTCTTTGAAAAAGGAGCAGATTATTACCGCCTTGGAGGTCTGACATCAGAATTGTCGAAGGCGCTTATATGAAAATGTTTAGAAATGCTATAGAAATCGACAATGGTTATTGAAACATTAAAGACATTGGAGAACATCGATTGATCGATATGGGCAATACTTGACGTTATCAACATTCGATACAACACGTGAAAAATAGTACTAACTATCAAGTGATATACTGTATAGTATTTTAAAACTCTTTTTGTATGTTTTGACAAAAAAAAACATGACAGATTCGTATGAATAAAGTGCAAGCACACCGTTTTAGTAAAACATTACAAGTTATTAGTGAGATCGGCGTTTATTATAAATCAAAATATTTTATACAAATATACTCAACGAGTGACTTTATTCCTCCACAATTAATCTAAAATAAAGATTTATAGTAAAACTGATACCGTACCAATTTAAGTTCCTCTACGGAAATTCTAACCAAATTGCAAATTTCGACTTGTTATAATCTCGTTTCCTGACCATCAGATTTCTGTCAAATCTTCCCCCCAAAGTCCAGGAAATGGCATTTCAGAGACTCTAAATTTAAAAATTTTCCAGGGGGGCATGCCCCCGGACCCGCCGAGGAACACCTCGCACCTGCGGCGCTCGGCTCGTGCCTTCGGCCCTCGTTTATCAAGCGTCACATTATAGGGGCGCATATTGGTTGATAGCCCACTGGCCCCCCCCAGAAAAAATAGTACTCAGCACGCCACTGCTTAAAGCTGTCTCTTGCAAGGTACTTGCACGGGTGATGTATTAGGCATCTCTCTGATAGACGATTTGCGATTGACGATTTCGATTTATTAATTATGAGTTCAATATCTGTAGGTTAATAGCTTCCAAGCATTTGTGACGGATAAAAAACCCACCATCCTGTGGATAGCACTGCATGTATGTAAAACTTTCATACAACCAGTGCCTGGTTGTACGAAATTTATCTACCTTACATGGACCACATGATTATTTTAACAAGGTGTATAGACCCATTGCACTGACGTCACAAATCCTTAGAGTGTCCTTCAGATGCTCCCTAACAATATCATCTGTTCGGGTACAACAACCACATACAGCGCAAAAATTAACCATTTTAATAAAAAAATATAAACTTTTACAAAATTTGATATGTTTACAGAAATTATATATTATGCATAGACTGCTAATTTGTCCTCCAGATGCATCGTCACCGGCCCTGTGACGTCATGTGCAATGGGTCCTATAGTGGATAAATGCGGGATGATGGTCATAGTAAACTAAATGAAGTTATTACTGGTTTAACCAGGCATTAACCAATGTGCTTTTGGAGGGCATATATAGAGAACAGGGATATTTTCAAGCACTTTACTACTACCGATATACGGTAGTAAATACTCAATCTTCAATTGAGTTTTGAAACTCAATCTTCTTCCACAATGATGTTTTTCTTTCACAATTTGATTTTTAATGGAAATGTTCCATTAGAAACATGTTTTTCTATACAATTTTGTTCAAAAAGCTGTCGAAACTGTTTCGCTTCTGAGACACACAATCTCGTAGAGGAATAGAATACTCATGCCCATGCACACTAGAAAAGTGTACCAAAAACAGGGCCGCATATTATCTATTTTGAGAAATCGTAAAAAAGGCTGTCCCAAATGAACCAATGGTCGATCCCGATCGTCCGGTGCAAACAGTACGCAAAATTTTTGTTTCCGTCAGCGGATTTATTCTTTGGAAAGTGTCCAAAAAATAATAAGTAAGGTTACAGAATTGCAAATTGCCATTATACACTACCTGAATCAACTTCTGTGCTCTACAGCTAGCTCTGTGCTCTACAGCTAGTTGATGGCCAAACTAGACGTTGAAAATGCTATTTCCGTCGATCTAGAGACTTCAAAGTTTCAAAATTTTTCCGCAAAAAAAGTTGGTCCCGAAATATTTTGCACCCCTCTAAAATAACCTCAATCTTCTTCTGAAAAACGGTAGTAGACTAAAGTGCTTGAAAATATCCCTGAGAGAATGAAAATGTAAGGCTGCTCTCGTGAATGAAGTCACCAATCCACAAGCTAATCTTTGAGGACAGAGTTTAGTCAGTATCCAAGAGTGAACACGAAACGTTTTAAATTGTCGTTTGCAAATAGATTAATTTTTAACTATAACCTAGTCATACGATGTAAACTTTACTAATGTATTCTTAATATATACCTGTAACATAAGATATGTATTTTTATCTTTTGATCTAATAAAAAGACTTTTGAATTGAATTGAACTGTGCATTTTTACAGTGCAAACACAACTTATAATAATTAGTTCTCTTTTGCTTACCATTCATTCGAAGTTCTTTCACCATTTCCTCTTTACGATTTGTCTTAGACCTAAAATTTCAATGATAGTAAAATGGATTTTTTTTCCAAAGAGACGCACGTTTTGTGTCCTGAGGCTGGTTGTTCAAAGCTAGGTTAAGGCTAATCCTTGGATAAAATTTAACCAAGTGTCTAGTTCGTGTATTTTTGGACGTCTGCATTGTTTACTTCGAAACTTTAAATTAAAGAAAAAAAACTCTTATTGATACAGACAAGATTTGTAAAAAAAAATCTGAATTCATAAACAAGCTGTTGGAAAATTGGCTTTGAATTTTTAAGTTAACCCCGGGTTAAGCTAACAGGCTTTTCAACAGCCGGCCCTGATTGCATGTATTGTACCTACCCTCCAGTTGTTTTAAAAAAATCAACCGCACAGAATAATTTCATATGAACCTAAACAAATTCAACAAGTTCGTTCATTAACTGCAATCAGGTGTAATAATAATAATCATGTTTCGCTTGCTACTTTGGTTTGATAAAAATAGGTACGCCAGGCCTACATGTATCTGCGAATAGCGCCACAATGAAAGGTCCGACTTATTTAGATTGTAACAGTAATAGACAACTTAACCCATGTTTTAAACTTATTTTATTCACAAAATATACGGAAAACTGACGTGAAATTTAACATAAACAAAAATTTACAAAAATATAAAGTTACTTTCGTTTTGTACATATTCAGAGGAGTCCGAGCCCCTGCAGTTCCTCGAAACAGTCTCTTTCTCAATACTAATCAATTTCTACTCTGGAACATCCTCCCGCCCGATGCAGGAAGTGCATCAACTTTCATTAACTGACAAATGTCAACAAACTAGCTAATTATTGTTCAATGTTTACTTTAGTCCTGCTGCTATGTCAGCATCACAAGTTTCTAACACGTGTAGTCTTTGTACAGGACGACGGGTATGGCGGCCTGAGGGCAAACGTAACGTTACAGATCGGATCAGACCATCTCTTCTTTCATGCGTTGCCTCAACACGGGCTTTCGGCCATTGTCCTCTTGGAACATTATCTTCACTTACGAGTACTACATCACCCACATGCATTTTTCGACCAATATCGATCCATTTTTTTAAAGTGGTTAACGACTTTAGATATTCCGCATTCCATCGCTTCCAAAATCCATTTACCAAACGTTGATGATATTGTAATCGTTTCTTTAAGGCGTTGGAAGTGTGCTCCGTAACTTTCGTATCTTTGCTTGGAAACGCCTGTAAATTTCTCCCAATGAAAATCTGGGCTGGCGTAAGGGCCTTTAAATCATTTGGTTCAGCTCCAATGTAAGTAAGAGGACGACTGTTAATTTGAGCCTCGATCTCCGTCAGAATGGTGGTCATTTGCTCGGCGTCTAACATTGCATTTCCAAAGATTTTCTTCAGCGGCAACTTAACACTTTTCACGAGACGTTCATAAAATCCACCCCACCAAGGGGCTCTGGGTATTATGAATTTCCATTGAATCTTCTTCTCAGACAAAGCTGTACGGGTTTCTTCGGATTCCAGGATTCGCCAACAACTGTGTAACTCTTTTTAGCACATTCGAACGTTTTTGCATTATCTGACCAAATAATACTACACATGCCTCTTCTTGCAACCATACGTTGTAACGCCAGCAAAAACCGTTCAGTTGTCATGTTGCTTACCAATTCTAAGTGTAGTGCACGAGTGACAGCAAAAGTAAAAAGGCAAATATATGCCCTGTCACCACGGTTCTTAAGATACAAAGGTCCAGCAAAGTCCAAACCAACGTTTGTGAATGGAGGTGCAGGTATAATTCGGTCAGCTGGAAGAGGTGCCATTTGTTGAGAGACAGGCTTGGTGTAAAACTGACGACACACTATACATCTCTTTACGATTTCGGATCGTAGCTCTTCCTTTTATCAACCAAAATCTTTGACGGACCACTGACAATGTATGCTCAACGCCAGCATGCATTTCACGACGGTGAATAGCTTGAACAAATAATTCTACATCAGGATGATCACTAGGTAAAATAATGGGATGTTTCTCCTCCTCGGGCAACTCAGCTTTATGGATTCGGACACCAACACGAAGCAAACCGGTAGACTGACACAAGAAAGGATTCAAGTTTCTTAATTAATTAATTAATTTCTCATCAGGCCGGTTTCGCATTACATTACGGTCCAATTTTCTAAAGTGAATATCTCGGCGAGTATTTACCCCCCTTTAAAACAAAAGACACCATTAAAATCCTTACATAATAACCTTTCGAACGGGGGGTCAAGTGCCGTCAGAACATTGACACAAAGCGAAAATCATATATTTATACTCACCGCTTGGCCAAACAGTCTGTGTTTCATATGGAGAAAAAGTTGAATATCTTCTAAACTTTCGTCGTTTTTTGAAAGGTTATATGAGTAAGATACTCTTTGAATTCAAGCGCTTTCGTGTAGAAAGTTTCGTTTGAATACGCCGACTAGAAATATTTATTTCGAATTTTTCAAAATATCGGGTTTTACTCTCACACGCGTGTATTACGCAATACTTGACCAATAAGGAGCTCCTTTAGCCGGGATGACGTCAAACTCACGCGTATAGGTGCACTTTGACCTGTAGAATCCATTTCTGGCATTTCCACAGTCACGCGATACAAGCATCGCATTGTTTTGACGATTTTTCTCGTATTTCCGGTTTGGATTATTGCAAATTTAGAGCAGAAATGTAATATTCGGCAGTAAAAGTCGCACTTTAAAGATATAAGCTTGAAAATTAATAACACTCTACATGTTATTTTTAACTGCTTAATCCATCAGGAGTATCACAATGAGCATGCGACTCAAGGGCCCAAAGTTATGTTCGGCGAAAGTATGTCTATGTTTATAATTTGTTAGTAATATTGCGTAATTTCATCATATACGAGCTCTCTTGACTTTCAAAGCTCATAAATCGCTACAATGTAGTCATTGACTAAAACTATCGTTATAAATTAGTATATATTTTTGCAGTTAGTCGAATGGTGGTATTTTCATCTACATAGCGTTTACTGAACCGAAGATATGAATGAAACATACTTAAAAATGTTGGAAGCGAAACCAGGATTCATAATTAATTGTGTAAACGTTCTCTGGTTAAAAAAAGATTTATTTATTAACAAGCTTTCGACTGCCAGTCTGCAGTCTTCGACGGGTAGATATTATATATCTACCCGTCCAAGACTGCAGACTGGCAGTCGAAAGCTTGTTAATAAATAAATCTTTTTTTAACCAGAGAACGTTTACACAATTAATTGAAACATACTTAGTACGTGCATACGTACTATGTTTAATGGGCCGTGCTTTAAAAGAGTTTTAAATTAACTTACTATCGTTCAATGCTTTACTTTGTCGAATCAACAAAATTTCCTCTGAAAACCGTTCTATTTGGATTCGATTGACCAACCAACGTTCTGACTCTTGGATTTCTAATCCAGTTAAGACAAAATGTCTTCTTTTGTCCTGCTTAACTTGAGCATTGTGGATAAATCTCTTTATCCATGCTATGGTTCTCAATAACTTATAGTACTTGCTGAATCTGGTAAAGTCAACAAATATCTCTTGTGGTTGTATGACATAACTATTGATACTGGCTTGATGCTTTCTCTCAATCTCAACATGTTCATTTAAAGATGCCGATTGTAGATCCTTTGGCCATTCTTCTTCAGAACTTCTCAACCAGGCAGGTCCTTCCCACCATAACCGACTTTCTTTCAATTCATTCGAAGACATTCCTCTAGTGGGTACATCAGCCGGGTTCTGTGGTCCAGGGCAGTATTTTTTTGCTTCTTTCTCAACTAGAGACCACGCGTACATAACACGGGAACGGGAAGATCCTTACATGAATAAATAAATATAATATGTTGTTGCTTCGTTCTTAAGAACTCACGCAATATATCAACATAATTTTGCTTCTTTGTCAACTAGAGACCACGTGTACATAACACGGGAACGGGAAGATCCTTATATGAATAAATAAATATAATATGTTGTTGCTTCGTTCTTAACTCACGCAATATATTATATAGCAACATAATATATGTTGTTCTTTCTTTCTTTCTTAAATTAAGAAACCTACACGCAATATGTCAATATAATATGTTGTTGCTTCGTTCTCAAGAGATCAACTGGATCCAATGGAAAAATAATATGCAAGTCAATATAGACATTTCTTAGC